TTTGTTTTTCAGACTTTGTACATTGAGATCATGTGACCTTTTGACATTTTTTAAGAAACCACATGCACCTGGGTTTGGGTTAAATGTCAGACCCTTATCTCTCTCTAAAACAAATTATCTAAATCCTTTCAACCTGTCGAAGGCATTTTTAACCACAGGAGTGGAGGCAAAAAATGTATTTCTGTTGTTTTAAGGAAGTTCATAGCTCAAATATAATGTGTTTTTCACATTTACAGTGCAAAAAGTAAGATAAGCCAACAATCCTTTTGACATCTATTTTTATAAATTATTTTGCAATATATGCTATTCCCTATTTCTCAATTGATATCATGCAAAAATGTCAGATGTCATTTTTTCAAGTCATTGTTTGTACATTTTCAAGTCAAATAACTTTCAGTGTTGTAAACCTTGCAAAGCAAAAGCCAAATTCTGCTCTGAGGTATGCATGTTCAACTTCCATTGACTTTACTGAGAGTTGCATATATGTCTGAGGGTAGAATTGGGCACCAGTGAATGACTATGTTACCTTTTTTTACTTCTGCTTTCAGTTTATGTTTGATCTTGGGCAAGATACTGCAAGGCATGGCATCCCTTGAGCATCCACTTTACAGGATCAGGCCCTGATAGATTATTCTAAATTGACTGAAAGCTGACTCTGTTCCCACAGACTTGATTGGGAATTTGTTAGATCTTATACTAATTAAAGCATTAAGTAATTATATTATGTTCATTGTGTTAAATTTTATCATAAGAACAGCCATAATGGTTTGGACGAGTGGTCCACCTAATCCAGTATCCTGACTCCAAAAATGGCCGGTACTAGAGCTTAAGGGAGAGTGTACACAACAGGGCAGTTGGAGTGATCCCATCCCTGTCTTCCCCTCCTAGCTTCTGGCAGTCTGAGGTTTAGGGTTGCCCTGAGTATGGGGTTACATTCCTGACCATCTTGGTTAATAGCCATTGATGGTCCTATCTTCCGTGAGCTTATTTAGTTCTTTTTTGAGCCTAGTTATACATTTGTCCATCACAACATCCCATGGAAGTGAGTTCCATAGGTTAATTGTGTGTTGTGTGGAAAAGGTACTTATGTTTCTTTTAAATCCTACTGTCTATTAATTTCATCCAGTGACCCCTGGTTTTTGTATTGTGGGAAAGGGTAAATAGCACTTTTCCCCCACAATATTCATGATTTTATAAACCTCTCATCATATCTCTCCCCCACCCCTGGTGTCATCCCTTTTCTAAGGTGACAGCCATAATCTTTTTAGTCTTTCCTTTTAGGGAAGCTGTTCAATACCCTTGATCATCTTTGTTGCTTTTCTCTGAACCTTTGGCAGTTTCACTATATACTTTTTGAGATGGGGCAACCAGAACTGGACACAGTATTGAAAATGCGGGTGCACCATGGATTTATATAGTGGCACTATGATATTTTCTGTCCCTTTCCTAATAGTTCCTAATATTCCATTAGTCTTTTTGATTGCTGCTGCGCACTGGTGATGCCAGAGGACAGGTAATGGACTACAGCTAGGGACCACATATCTCAAGGAACTCCAGTTATCAAGGATGAGTAATTTTCCTTTCTTCTTCAAGTTCTGGTCCCTATGTGTATTCCACTGTGGGTGACTGGCAAGCACTACTTAAAGAGGATGAGGGGGTGTAAGGATGCAGGTGGTATGGCTGCTTGGTGATGCCAATATCTTTTTTTCTTTTTCTTTTTTTTTTAGTAGAAACCCATTATATATGTGTAGTTGGGATTATATTTTCCAGTGTGCATTACTTTGCACTTATCAATGTTGAATTTCATCTGCCCAGTACCTGAATTTCAATTTACAGCTAAGTATCAAACAGATAAAATGAAGTAAAATGTGAGCAGATTGATACATGATGGTTAAAATGTGAGTCAACTCTTATGGTGGAAAGATAGAATATTCTTGTTATTTTCGGCAGAGTTAGTAGTGATACCTGTAGTTAAGGCTGCTCGATTCTTTCCATTGCTCATGATTTGTAGCCGTTTTCTTGCGTGTCATCCGTTCTAGCATCTGTGCTCCTACAGTGTTCCATTCACATTCTTGCATTCCACAGAAATCACAGAGCAACAGATCGATGTACCTGGTATTTTAAGCAGTACTGAGATACATTTTGCCTGACATTTCTTGCAATGTAAAATGCAGTTGTACTCGGGGGTAAATCTTCATTGCAGTTAGCCTGGGCTAGCTTAGCACGGGTTGAGCATCTCAACTGCAAAGCCTACCCCTCCAGACTCATGATACTTCATCTACAGTGGTAGTGTAATAGCCCATATGCTGTGATGGATTACTGGTGGGTTATCCTATGATTCTTAGCAATGCATTAAATGGGGCTGCTCTATTATTTTTGTGGGGAGCTGCGCGCTCGCTCTCTCTCTCTCCCTCCCCCCTAGCATGGAACCGCTGTATGTGACAGTGACATGAGAACAATATTTCATGTGAATAACTTGCAAGTGAAGTCACTCATTATTAATGCAGACAGTTCTGAAGGCAGAACAGCATTTGGTAGCAAGAAATTTTAATGAGAATGTCATTAAGGAATTCAGTCTGCAAACCACAAAGTGATTTGTAGCACACTTGACTAACTTCTTTGCCTCTTCATTTCTTTCCTGTTCACTAAACATAAAAATGTCATTTTAGGTATATTTCTCCAAGTTATGGGTCTTTCTGATACCACTCCACAGCTTTATTAGAAGACTTGTGTCAGTTCTGACCAACTGGCAGCACAGGAGAGGGATTTCTTGGACAACATCTCTGTTCTAACACTGAGGAAGAGCAGCAGAAATGGAGCAGGCAAATGCAGGGGTAAAAGCATTTCCTTGTAGAGAAGAAAAAATCTGAAGGCTGCTTGATGCTAAGATATGAAAGAGGACCCCAGATATTATGGGTAAAATTTTCAAAAGCAACTTAACACTCACTCAGTGGTTAAGTCATTTTTGGCTCTTAAGTCACTTAAGTGCTTTTGAAAATTTTACCCTATAAGTATGCTAACATCTTTTTTCACTTTCACAGTTTTGCACTATCACCCAGGGTAGAAATGGTGGGAGTGCTAGTATGAATAGGTAACTTACGTTTTAACAAACATGTTGTCTTGATCTGCTCACATTTTACCTCATTTTGTCTGTTTATTTGATACTTAGCTGTAAATTGAAATTCAAGTACAATCCTGAAGTAAATGTGAATCTCTCAGATTCTGGGTCAGAAACATGAAGAAGTAGAATAATGGAACTTCCTTCAAATTTTAGGGGGAAAAATCAAAAGTGAAATAATGAGTCTGTCAGAAATGGTCTTTTCGGGGTTTCCTGACCCTCTGTTAGCTAATGCAGCTTTCAAAGGCAAGTACAGTGTTCTTTCATTTTCACAGTTGGTAAGTCTGATCAGAACAGAGTTGTAGTTCAATGCATTATAGCTGAGTGCAGCCTCAATATATGTTTAAACACTTGATAAAGAATAATGCAGGTGCACCAGGATATTAGTAATAATGGAATACAAAGCTTTTCATGACTAGGTCTGTGGTTCAACTCCAGATTGAAATCAATGGCAAGATGTCCATTGAAGTCAGTGGGACAGGATTTCACTTTAAATGAATTATGTTAATCATTGACCTTACAAGGACATATGTCTTGATTTTATCATATTTAACAACCTATATGGCGCTGCATCAGGATTTTTTAAAAATTAAATGAATTCACCACTGGTGAAAGACACCAGACTCATAAACCTGAAGATTGAAACTTCCACATATTTCTACAGAATATACAGTGTATATAGCTTGGACAGTGGCAGTATAAGCTCTCCTACTATCACCCCACCAGTGTTCTGGATCTGATCAATATGGACTATACCCGGCAGATGAGAAGTAGTCTCCCATCACAACTTTCTGTAGCTAGTCAATAAATAAGCCAACAAAACATTTTATAAAACACAGAACCATCAAGATGGGCACATGGATAACCAAAGCAACAACCTAATCTTATCATTGTATTCTGTGCCCTCCCTTCTGAAGCCTCATTATTTGTCAGTAGTTGTCAAGTCATGTTTAAATTCAGACTGTAAACCACAAGGGGCAGGGACTGCATTTGTCCATAAAGTCGTATGTATACAAATGTGATTAAAAATAATAACAGTTCAATTTTCATACCCATTTAATCTTTGACCTTTGATAAGCCTGCTTTCAAGGATGCCATTTAGAGCTAAAAGTGACTTGGGCACCTGTATACTTGAAATTGAAATGAGACCAATAATTCATTCCACATAAGCCAATGTACAACCATCAGATGACAATCTTGCCAGAATTTCACCATACATTTTTCACTTCCTCAGGGGCCAGACGATTTCTTTAGATGTTGATGACATCGCTGCTTCTGTGGTGGTGTGCACTATCGTGGAAGCCACTAAACATGGCCAGAGCTGCAGTTAAGTTAGTGTGAGGGACAGAGGATGGTCTCCTCCCACTCTTTTTATCTGGGGGACAGTTTTCTCTCTCCCACACCAACCAGGTAGTAGTCATCTATAACCTCTTCCCATGGCAGCAATTAGCCCAGCTGATGGGAGCAGAGAGATAATTCTCTAAAGAGCTGCCGGCTGGACAGAAAAAGTGGAGAGGTGTCCTTCTTTGTAAGGTCCCTGCTTGCATCTTTTAAAAACTTGTAAGAGTTAGCCTACTGGATTCATCTTCACTCCTGTAGCCACCCAGTAGAATCACCAATAGAAGCAGGTATATTTGCCTTGTTAAATTGTGCTGTTTAGCACCACAGTTGTTCTTAAATATCAATAAGGTATTTAGTAAATATATTGAAATTATTTCTGCTAGCAGTATTAAAACAGCTCTGTTTTATCTCTTCAGTATATAAAAATTCCAAATGTTTCAGCAACATTTCGTTTTATTAATCATTTTAAGTGCCTTTAATAATTTCTGCATGTGTTTTTCAAATCATCTTATAAGATACAATTTTTTCTATTTTTCTATAGGAACACCAGTTTACTCAGTAGCATGGGGCCCCGATTCAGAAAAGGTTCTCTATACATCAGGGAAGCAGCTGATTATTAAACCTCTTCAACCAAATGCTAAAGTTTTACAGGTATCATTAATATAAAATTTACATAGGCTTCAGTGATATTTTACAAGTGATATAAAGTTTCATATAAGTTATACAACTAAACCACTACACAATTTGGTATGGGCAGAATTTTTAAACTAAAATTAAATAAAAACTAGAAAGAATAAAGACTAGGGCTCCAATCCTGCAAGGAAGTCAGTAGGATTACTCACAGTTCCTAAAGTAAAGCTTGCATATAAATCTGCAGGATTGAGGCCTGGAATTATAGATGTGCTGCAAACCAAGACTGAAATGTATTGGTGAAGATGTGTTGTGAAGCTTTCATAGCAAGCCGTACCTTGCTTGGGCCATTTATATATGTCCTTTATTTAGTCAAAATTCAAAATTTATTTTGACTGTAATATTATAGGTGGTAGCACTGCCTGTTATTAAGGTTGCTTGCCACTTTCCATTATTAGATTGTTTTGAGTTGCTTATATATTAGCCAAACCTTAACCATTTGGGTTACAAAATTTTGGAAAATTTCATTTCTGGCTAGGGAAAATATGTTGTTTTGCACATATTAAAAAATTTGGTAACTTTTTCTTTGAGATGCTTCAGTGCCCACTTGCTTTGGAAGGGGGAATTGAAATTTGGAAGGCGGTAGCCTTTGTGTCAGGTATATGCCTTTTATTGTCATATGGCTGAGTTATAAGCATTTGAAAAATAGCACTTCGCACATATTCACTCAAGACCTGCTAGAGCTTCATAGGTAAATTCCCTAAAGATTCTGTCTATGCTGAGCATACCCAGCCTGAGACTGATCAGGACTCTCCCTGCAATTGTGCACAGAGCCAGGCACTAAATTGAAAGCAGGGAGGGGAATTTATTGTCCCCCTTCTGGGCCTAGGCAGCGTAGAGGAGGAAACTGCTTGATTCAAATGCAGAAGAGATAAGATCCAGTCTTGTGGTGGAGCTAATATATAGGTAGAGCCCTGCGCAGATACAAATTTATATCCACGGAACCGCATGGCTCTCCCGGGAACTGCAGTGGTGAAAGGAGCAGAATGTGGGGCTGCCGCTCCCAGGAGCCAGCACCCCACACCAGCAGCTTCTCTGGCACAGCTGTACTGCTCCCAGCCCTGCCATGCAGCTGTCTGCGTCTCCTGTCTGGGAGCATGCACACCGCTTGAACACAAGAGTGCGACCAGGGACAGCTGCCGGTGACCATGGTGCCCGCCCCATTGGTAACCCTTGTGGGTGTCTTTATGATGCCACGTGATTAAATGTCTGGTTCTTTAGTTTACTTTTGTAAAAACTAAGAAAATCTCCTTCTTTCACTCAGCCAGACATACCACCTATATTAAAAGAACATTACTAAAATTGCAAAGTCAAGAACTCAAAAGCTAGGGAGTATGAAAGTTAAGGTTACCTGTGCAACCTTAATTTGTCCCTTTAGTGCATATGCATTAGGATACAGTCTTCAATTACATGATCCCTTACTATTTTTTCGACGGGACCAGGGTTTCATTCAGTGCACAGGGTAGACCTGCTCTGGGGATGAATCAGGGTTGTATAGTTTTCTATAAGACCCCTGCTTCATTTGTTACAAAAGTTGGAAGGTGTATAATAATGAGGCAGAGGACTGCACAAAGAGAAGGGATGGTCTTGTGGTTATGGTTATTTTTGCCACAGAGTTCTTCTATGATGCTTGGCAAGTCACTTAAACCAAATGTTTCACAGGTGGTCACTAATTGTGTGTTCCTCTTTTTGTGTGTGTGTCTGACTTGAGACCTAGAGGTCTGATTTGCAGAAGTACTGAGCATTCACAGCTACAATTGAATTACCAGTAAATATGCGTTGAACATATTAAGTGCTATATAATACCGAGTACTCTGAAAAATCAGGTTCTAGGAGTCTCAAATTTGGCAACCAAATTTAGTGGACCTTTTGACCTTAACCCGTGGCTCAGTTCCCTATCAGTAAAATGGGGATTATGATACCTCCTTCTCTCGCTGGAGTATTGTGAAAATAAATTAATTTATGTTTGTGAAACATTTAAATACTATAGTGATGTTTGTGGTAGAAAATCCCATTAGTACGTTTTTAATTTTGTCTTTAGAACAGGATCTGAAATTGAATAGCATTTAGTAAACAAGACCTTGTCTACACATGGAGATTCTGAAATAGATATTCGTGAACAGATATTCAGGAATAACTCCATGTGCAGACACACTTATTTTGGAATAAGAGTGCCTTTTCCCAGTTTAGCTTAATCCACTTTGAAAGTGGATTAAAATAAACCAGAAAAAAATTATAATTGAAATTTTGACCATTTTTACTAGTACCTGTCAGAGATGGAAATGGGAGCTTTATGTTGTTGGAAGAGATTTGAGAAGCATGTTAAAAGCTGTTTCACTAGTAAGATATCAGTAATATGGCCAGTCTTCGGGCTCAAGAATCTATAAGGTATAAATAGTTATGTAGCGTTTACCTCATATATTAACCTGTCATGTTAATAGTCTCAATAAAGATAGAAGTAAGCAGTAAAAATGAGTGGGAAATGATATTTTAAGGGAAGTGGGGACACAAATAAATGGCTTTTTTGGAGTTTAAATGGAGTTTAAGAAATAGAAATTGATCCATGTTTAAAAAGATGAAAGAACAGATATAAACCACTGTTGAAAAAAATTAGGGAGAGGCCTAAATAGTAACAAGCAGAGGTTTAAAATAAAAAACCCAGAAATTTCAAATAAACAGAAATAGGCTTCAATTTTTTTATAAAAAAGAAGGAAGATGCAGTGGCTTTAAAAATAAATTTAAAAAAATCCTATTGTAGTTTGGAACATTCAAATTGTGGAGATTCTTAGACATAATATAAGTGCATAACCTCATTATTACCCTTCTCCTCACTCCCCTTTATTGTGTGTTATGTTAAATTAAATTGTAAGTCTCTGCAGGAAGAGACCATGTCTGCTGTGTTTGTACAGTGCTAAGCACAATTGGAACCTGATCCTGACTGGGGACTATAAATGTTACCAGAATAAAAAAACAATAAGTACTAAAAATAATAGTAAAAGTAATTGCTAGATTTAAATGTATACTTAATTTATTTCTTTTCCTGTCAGTGGAAAGCCCATGATGGAGTTATTTTAAAACTCGATTGGAACTCAGTCAATGACCTTATCCTATCTGCTGGTGAAGACTGTAAATATAAGGTGTGTATTGTTTAACTTTAATTACAGTGGATTAAATTATTTAAATAAATATTTAAAGCAGCAACTGAGTAACAATACTAGGCACTACTGACTTTCTCCAACCTTCCCAAGACCTTTCAAACTCAAATCCAATTAGATAGAAAAATTTCAGTGCAATTTGAAAGTTTTCAGGAAATGGCAGCTACACTGAACGAAGAGATTCCTAGCACATGTTAACATAGTACTATTTCAAATGGGACTACATCAGCGCTTGCTAGGTACCTTTTAGACCGCAACAGCAGGGTTTACACGGCACAATTAGAGCACAACACTTTAGAGCACTCTACACTTTGCACCCCTCTAGTGTCCATTTCTGTACCCGGTAGACAAGCCCTAGCTGCTGAAGGAATATTAAGACTAAGATATGAACTGAGAAAAGTAAAGAAATTACAATTAAAGGGGAAACACAGTTTGTCTTGTTACCTAAATACAGGTGGGATCCTTAGGAAAATTGTATAGATGGCACACTGTTCTCTGTCAGTAATAGAGGGTGCATGTTATGTTTTCCCCCTTAATTGTGAACTTACTTTAATTAGTTGGTATCTGAATTCTAACAGTCTCTCATTTATGTGCTGTGATTTAAAAAAAATCTTTTGAATTATATAGTCTTTCTGTTTAAATCTTCTCTCAGATCAGTGCATACTATGAATGGACTCCCTGCTAATATACTAGTTATAATGGCCCAGATCATCCACTCTGTGGAATAAGGGAACTCACTGAGATCCCTCTGCATCATGCTGTTGGAGGGCAAGGTTTGCCACCTGCAAATAATCTGCCCAGACCTGGCAAATACCTGGGAATTGACAGGAGGCCAAGGGCCATCTTTAACAGAAACCCTCTGCCCATGCTATTGCTCTGACCCCATAAGCCTTCAAAAGCCACCAACCCTTCCCCATTCAGGTTTCCTGCCAGCATAGCTCCAGTAGAGATACTTTCCCAGGAAATACATCCTCCCTGGCATGGTTTGCTCCAGGTCCCTGGGGGAGGAGGAATATGTGGCCTCCACCAATAATTCCTAAGAGGGGGACTGATGTACATTTTATCCCCATTGCAGTCATGTTCCCAGCCAACTCTCACCTTCCCAGCTTCCCCCAAGTTCTCTTCTACCTTCTGCACAGACCTGGGGATTCTGTAGTGAGTCTATTGCAGGGTCTGGAAACTGGGGAAATGTGAGCTGATGAAGGGTATGGTAAAAGATCCAGGAGAAGAGGAAATCTGCATGTTGATGATCCCTCCATGTGGTTCTTGAGAGTATGAATTGGGCCAGTAGATTTTAATTACTCTGGTTTTATTTTATTTTTTTTCATAAACATACTGTACAGCAAAATAAAAATGTACAAAGTTCAAATTTTATATAAAGAAATTAAAGAGACAGAGTGGGACCAACTTTTGTTGGTGAAAGTGACAAGCTTTTGAGCTACACAGAACTCTTCTTCAGATCTGAGAAAAGTACTCAGAGTGTCACAGCTAAATGCAAGGTGGAACAAATTGTTTAGCATAAATAGTTAACACACATTCTAAGGAACCATTTGTCTGAAATACAAAGAAATGTCATTTGATATGAAAAATTGGTGGAAAATGTAAGAAATGTTAAAGTTTAAATTTCATCTGCTATATTTAGAAGAGAAAATAGAAGTAAAATTATAAAGAAGTGACTATCATTGTATTGAAGTGAGGGTTAACAATATTCCGTGAACATTTTACTGAGCGGTATGAAATGAGAACTGAGAAGAAGAAAGAACAAGATACATTAAGAAGACAGTGAATTGTAAAGAAAAAGAAGGGAGAAAGGGGAACTAAAACATTTGTCTAAAATAAGTTAGCCAACCCCCATATAACCTCAACTATTTTTCCTGCCCTACACAAATTATTAGAGCTCAGCCTGAGCAAAGAGAAACTTAAAAAAGAAAAATAATAAAAGGACTTTTGTAGCAATTGCTCTCATTTCAAAAACACATTTTTTTCATGTCAGTCTAAGATCTGTTTTTGGAAATAGCTTTAAACCTGTTAAAATGTTATATTTATCATTTAACTAGATAATAAGTTTTAATAAAAACTTAATTTGTACTTTGATTATTTAATAGAAAAAACTCATCAATATGACAACTTTTATAAACTTATAAGTTACTAATGCATAAAGTGTTCTTGCTGGCATTCTACTGGCAGTGTCATTGGAGGATTTCCAAATTACACTGAGAACCTCATTATCAACTTTTTTTATGAAGAAAAATAATAATACTGTAGTTTTAATAGTTTTAAGATTCAGCAGTAAGAGTCTTACACTTACTTCAAACCTCACATGAACAGCTTGGGGAAATGAGATGAAAGATATGTGAGAGGTATATATTTCCATTTCAAAAGATATCACTCATTTTAGTCCCAACGTTACCTTTGTTCCACACAAATTTGGCATCCCCTTGCTTGTATTGGTGAAAAATGTTTACAACAAAAATAAAGAATTATGAAACTGAGGTAACAGTTATTTTGCATTACAGAAGTGAATGCCACAGCATTTTAAGTTTTCTGCATAAATAATTTCTTCTATACCTCAGTTTGGGTTGTTGTCACAAACAGTCTCCCCCTTTGGGCCTCAGCAGGTTGTGAGACATGTGAGAATATACAGCCATAAAGATTCTGTTCACTGTCCCCTGGCTTGATTGCTGACTGGCTGTTGATAGTTGATGTGCATGCGATTTTATATTTGATATTACTATACAAATAGAATGATCAAAAGTATTTAGGAAACATACAGGTCTAGGAAAAAACATACAGTAATTCACCAAGAAACACATAGTTAATAGTGCACAATACAGATATCAATATAATATTTCCCATATTTTAGCAAAAATCCGACTTCAGGTAAAAATTATTTTTGTGGAGAGCTGGTTTTCCAAGTAGATGAAGGAGAATGCATTAGAATAACTTAGAAATAGGAATCTGATTTTACAGAGTATTTGTTGCTATAAAATCTTGAGATGATACACAAAAGAAGGGCCCAAACTTCCAAACTTGACTTCATTGGGAGATTTGGGCATGCAAAGAATGCAGGATTGGGCCCAGCTGTTATATTGTGCATACACACACACACACACACAAATCCAACTGTTAAATGCATTAGATATCTTTTTTTAATGTCGCAATTTGTTTAAAAAATAAACATATTTCTACAATTTAAAAATATTTTCAGCTGAGGAAATGATTCCTCTAAAATAAGAAGTCCAAAATAAAAAGAATGATGCCTCTAAAATAAAATATGTCCAAAATAAATTCAGACTGTAATTTATTTTTTCTTTCTGAGGTGTGGGATAGTTATGGTCGTCTACTGTACAGCTCTCAGCCTCATGATTATCCTATAACATCTGTTGCCTGGGCTCCGGATGGAGAATTATTTGCTGTGGGGTCTTTTCATACTTTGCGCCTATGTGATAAAACTGGGGTAAGTAACAGCTCTGACAAAGAAGAGATGTAGTGTTATGCAAATTTATTAAAAATATAGTAAATATTCCAGAGAATACACATGTATAAACATATTTTCATTTGTAGAGAATAATCCTGGCTTTTTAGTATCTTTCCCCTGGGTGCTTCTGGCTGAGTGATTGTCTCCTTAGTCTGTTTGATGCATTTGTCTCTGTATTTAATGGTGCCTTATGAACACTTTACAGTTTTGTGCAGGGTCAACTAGTTCTATCATATTTTGCCCTTCTTTCTTCACACGTTTGGTTGTTACATCTTCATTAATTTATGCTTCACAATTATATTTTGCAGATTCTTTACCAGATCAGTGTATAATTCTTATTATTTATCCTTTAAAGATACCATCTACACTGGAGTTTCACTCTTGCTTCTCATTCTTCCATAGCTAGACAGAAGAACTTCTCTAGATAAAAGGGTTTGTCTCACAGAATTAGTGGTTGTAGTAGTAGCCAGCATGTGGAAGTTCTCCCTCATCTCAGCCCCTTGTGCATCCATCAGCTGCTGCTGCCTCACCCTCTAGAATCTTCTAACCATTATCTCAACTATGGTCAAAGACTGAAGTCTCTGAAGGAGCTGTCCCTGACTTTCATCAGACAATTGTAGTCTGTTTTTTTGACTTTCAGCTTTTCTCTTCAGGTATTTTGTTCTTGTTGTTGACCTAGTTTTTTGGTTAGTCTCCTGTTAAAACTTAACTTAATTCAGTTTCATGTCGCTTCTTTGGTATTTTAGACTAGATAACTCCAGAGCACTGATTGACAAGATTGTCTTTGTGGATCTGCAGCGTTTTGTTCAAAGTTCTTGCCAACCCATCGCATTGCGTCAGACTTAAATGAGTTGGGATTCTTGTTTTACTCCCTATCCCTCTTTTCTTGGTGGCGTTTTATCACTTCTCTGAGTTTGACACTTCAAAGCTTGTAGAATTTGGGGGCATTTTCATCAGAACACATTTTGATTTTCTTCACACTGCACTCTACACTTGCTTTGGCACACTCTTCCAACACATGAGCACATTCTGCTAGTGCTTTGAGATAGTTTTTGGCACATTGATTTGGAAGTTTGAAATGCCAAGTAAGTGTCTAAAGACATTTTTTCACACATTTCTTTATTTCAGCAAGCCAACCTCTCCTTTAATCCTAAAGGAGGTAAGAACCTTCAAGAAATGTCAGTTAGGCCAAAGGATGTCAATCATGAATGCGTTTGACTTCTGCATCCTCTGCCTTGGAGTTGAGTAAGATGTGTATAAATGTGAGGTGTGCCTTGAAATGTTACCTAGAGCCATCAAGTTTCCTGAGGAACACACAAAATCCTTCTAGGTACCCTTGAGAGACTCCTATATGTCCATTCTGCAGTTATCTCCAGAGGCTTGCTCCTTCAAGCAGAGCATTCTGAGTCTTTGTTGGCCCCACTCTTGTCAGCACAGACACAGCTTTCCCATGGGGCCAGCAGATCCACTTCATCAGTTATCTTGAAGTGAATTGAACTACCTGTGTTGAAGCAGAGTTCTCTGAAATATACTAATGATTTGCTCTGAGTATATTGATGCATCAAGACGCTAGTACTGAAATTCAACTGTTTTGATGAGGCATTTCCTCTACAAAAGTACTGAGCGTAGGTGGCACAAAGAGAGAGACATTGACTCTTTGACATATCTCTACTATAGTCCTTCACGCCAAGCAAATCCAAAACAATCACCATATTCCCCTATCTAGTCTGGTGCTGCATTTTTAGAATCTGGATGGAAGCAGTATATGTTTAGAATCTGGATGGAAGCAGTTTGTGATGACTAAACTAGGCTGATCCTTCAGGTTTGAAGCTGAGGTTGATTTGCCTTTTCTTGCTGCTTGTTTCTATGTTTTATCATTCTTGTTTTTAGAAATCCCTTGAGCTACTTACTCTTCATGAACAAGAATCTGGTGGTGATTATCTTTAAAGAAAGGAAAATTGCTCACTTGTAATTCTGCCTCTTTGAAGATATTATTAGACAGTATTCTTTTTCTCTCTCACATTCACCCTCCTGCCTCCCCTCAGATTCTGGTGTATTTTCTGTAGGAGGTTTTTTTTGGTTTTTGATTTGTTTTGTTTCGTTAAATGGTGGGTGTTTTTGTTTTTGTTTTGTTGGAGTTTTGATGGTACAATTTTTTTTGAACGGTTTATTTTGGGGAGCTCTTCTTTCCCATGCAATTTAGGAACTCACTGGAAGGTTTTGGAGTGTGTGTGTGTGGGGTTGGTCCACATGTGGAGGTGGGATATCTTGCAGGCCACAATTACCACTGCCCTAGGGTTAAAAAATATATTGAGCTCAGGAAGTTCTGCCCTGTTTGTTATTGGGAGAAAAACCTAAGAGTGAGACTCCTGTAAGATGATTCTTTCAAGAAGCTGAATTCCAGGTAAGAAATATTCTCTCTTCTCTAAGAATATTGTTCGCATTTTCAGACGTGATGAGGATTGCATATTGGCCACAAAGAATCCAAAGTAGACTAAGGTTTCAGTAATTTAAAAAAATGTATGTTTGCAAATTATGTTGTTTAATGGTATTCCCAATATAAGTTGTCCTTTTTAAGAAAAGTAGATCCTGGTATACAACTTCCCTGCTTACCTGTAGGCCTTTGCTTTGTCAAAAAATATTGTAGTTGTATTGGAATAAAATAGTTTTAGGAGTAGGTACAGCATATAAGATTGTACAATTTTTAACAACTTTCTTAATATTATTACTATATACAGTAGCCTGAACACAACTTGTTCTTTTCTATTTCTAATTTTGAACAGAATGTTTATTTTATCTATCATTAGAACAAGCAATTGAAAGGCATGCTGTACAAGCACAAATATGGGATTAAGAACAGTAAGGGCTAGGCATGTAGAAAGCAACACTGCTAAGAAGTTCTGATGTCTTATTTTCTTGAACTATTTTGATTCTGGCACCATGATAGTCTGGAGGATGAATCAGTTATGTAGAGGATTTCTTCAGAACTCAGTAGGGTTGAATGTGTACCTTAGCAACTGCAAAAACTTCATGGCCAAATTTTTGTTTGTTGGTTTGGTTTGGTTTTGAAAAAATGTATCAGCTTATATCATTTCCTTCCTCAGAAAATACTATGCTTTATTGTTTATAATAATCTTTAAAAACTGTCACTGTGACATGATACAGTATTTTACAAACCTAGCTCTAGAAACAGACTGGTCTATCACTGTTTAAAACATTGTGTCTCTTAATATCAGTACCAATTTGAGAAGAAGGGTCAGTAAGATGAGTTAAGAAGGTGAATTCCCTTAACAAACACAGACTATCTGTGCTAGTAGGAGACATGTCCTTGACCTGACCAGAAGCTTTCTTAATAGTTGGTGCTAAATCAAAAATAATGTCTAGCATTAAAAATTAAACTTGCTGATTAATAAATATTTATATAAATCAAACAGCAGAAATATGCATCTGTTAAATTCTTCCCAGTTTCCACCAGTGATTTTGTGTTAATATTTTACTTTATGGTATTTATGGTATATAAATGCTCTTTGAATTTAAAATACAAAAATACTATACAGATTGAAAAATGTGTATGTATACACACTCAAATATCAAACCTTGTCCCTCCCAAACTTGCTGGGTTACTTGAAAGTAGACATAATGTACCATGTTTTCAGTGAATGGCCTCTGCTTTTACCTTGTAAATATCAGATATAAATAAACCTAATTAAGATCTATCCACACACTATAATCTTAATATATACAAAAAAATCTTAAAACTGGGCAAGAAATTTGATCCACTGACAAGTGACTTATTCCGTTGAATATACAGGACTAATAGATTCTGTGAGGAATATGAATAAGGTGCTAAGATGTAAATTCTCAGGTCAAATGAGCTAGTTACATCTTACTTTTTATTTTAAGCTAGGGCCTTGTCTACATTTATGAGTTTTGCAGTTTTAACTTTCATCATAATTGAAGCAAACAAACTCCCCTAGTATAGACATAGTTATACAGTAAAAGTGCTTAGGCGTTGTCTACACTAGAAAGAGTTCTTGTACTGGTATAGTTCATACCAGTTCCCTGAACAAAATAAGTTATACTATCAAAAGCTCTTTTTTGCTGGTATATCTGCATCTAAACTAAGACTTTTGGTTAGGTTCCCCCACAGACCCCACTCCAATCTTTACAGTCATAGCTATGCAAACAAAACTTTTAAGCGTAGACCAGGCTTTATACTAGTGTAATTTATTCAAGTTCAGTGAAGAGAAATAGAAAGTGCCTTATACTAGTAAAACCGTGACTACTCTAGGGCTTTAACTGGTATAAATACATCAGTAAAAAAACAAAATCACATTTCTTACCGAAGCAGTTTACTGGTAAAACTTTTTAAGTACAGACCAGGGCTAGGGGCTTGTCTTCCTATGAAAATAAATCAGGAATAAGATAGGGTGCAAATTTTAAATGGGTTAACTATTTGTGATTAACTCCATGTGTGTGTACACTTTTTCTGGAATAGGGGCTGGTCTACACTAGGGTGGGGGATCAATCCAAGATACGCACCTTCAGCTACGCAAATAGCGTAGCTGAAGTCGAAGTATCTTAGATCAAATTACCTGGGGTCCAGACGGCGCGGGATCGATGGCCGCGGCTCCCCCGTCCACTGCGCTACCGCCGCTCGCTCTGGTGGAGTTCCGGAGTCGAGGGTGAGCGCTTTCGGGGATCGATATATCGCGTCTTAACGAGACGCAATATATTGATCCCGGATAAATCGATTGCTGCCCGCCAATACGGCGGGTAGTGAAGACGTACCCTAAGAGTGTCATATTGTGAATTAGTTTAATCCACTGTGATTAAATTAATTTGGTATAAGGGCATACTTATTCCAGAATAAGAACCTCCACTCATGGAGTCAATCAGGAATAGTTATTCCAGAATAACTCCCTGTCTAGACAAGCCCTAAAGCCCAGATCATCAAAGGTATTTAGGCATCTAACTCCTATTGATTTCAATGGAAGTTAGGAGCCAAAATACTTTTGAGGATCTGGGTCTAAGTGTCTGCTTCTGTAAGCTGAGGGGACTCCTAGGGTATAATATGGCCAGCTAACATGACTTCAGATATCTATGACTTCACAAACGTTGAGAGGGTTTTCTAGTCATGTTAAGCTAATTCCATTGAGCTAACTTGATTGAGAAAACATGACTTTTTTGCTCTTCGAGACAGGGCAAAATATGTTAGTCTGCATTTTAATAAGGCTTTTCAGTTGGGTTAAGATAACTCACTTGAGCAAGCACAATTGAAAAACCTACCTCTTTTACCTGGCAAGAACTAAGAAGAGATTCCAACAGACTAATAGTAAAAAGCAGGGGTTGAAAATTAAAAGAAAAAAAAAAGAGAGAGAGAAATTGTGAATAAAAAGCAGAAATAGGTTGAGATTTTATTTATAAAAAATGAAGGAAGAAAGAAAAATGTAAAGGCTTTAAAATTAAATAAACAAATTCCTATTATAGGGAATTCCTGTTATATTCTTTGTTTCAGGAGAAGAGCTTGTTTTCTTACTCGTGACTAGTACTGATCTTTAATTTCCATCTCTTAAAAAAAATCAGGTCTGTCAGATTTTCGTTTTACCACACTATTAAAGATGACTTTCTAGCCAATTAATTAAAAAGAATGGATGAAAGTCTTACCCCACTCTGTTTCCTGTGTGCCAGTTTTAAGGGGCCAGAGCAGCATAAATGGGTGCTACATTCCCCAGATATAGCTGGGGAGAATTCCTCCAGTGTAGGAACTGGGGACAGCCAGAGCAGCCTTGTCTTCACTAGGAAAAAAGGTGCTTTTTACCATGCTAGCTAATATGTGGTAATTAACATGCTTTAAAAATCCTAGTATGGAAACTCACATGTTAACTGGTCAAGGCAAACCCCAGGCTCTCCCTAGTCATTCCCTCAACCTGTTAATATATGGAAAACTACACACTGTGTCATCCCCCATTAGGATTTTAACTAACATATAGTGGAAAAAATACCACTTTTTTTCCTAGTGTGGATGCACCCAGACTTTCTTCCAAGGACTGTTTCATAAATCCTGGTATAAGGTGTAGAGCTGGGGATGCAAGGGATTGGCGCCACAACACTTAGCTGTAGCCAAAGATTCTGGGCAGTATGGGACAGGTTACACCTATGGTACACCAGAGCACTCTGGTCCTTGTGTCACTCCAGAAACGTGAAGACACAACAGTGTTTTAAAGAGAGCTTAATTCCCCCTCCCTCATGGGCTATAAATTCTGTGTAGAGCCTCTTAAATTAGAGGCGCAGCATAGAATCTCATCCCAGGATTTGATTTTGTTTTTTCTAGCACCACATTCATCTAATGTTTTAAGTGTTTTATTTTTCTTCTGTAATTTCCCAGTCAATAATGCAACAAGAAAGACTCAGATGACAATGTCAGACATAAAGGGGCCAAACCTCTGGCAGAATCATAAATTTGGAGCCTCTACATCATAATCATCTCAGATAAACAAATATGCTCTGAGAGTACAGCTCCCCTCTTCAGCCAGATTGTAACAGATAGTGTCACGTAATCTTAGTGCACTATGAGTGAAATCCTGCCCTATTAAAATTAACAGGGATTTTTCCATTGACTTCAATAGGGCCAGGATTTTACCCTATGATTTTGGGTATCACTAACACGAATAAGAGAATAATTAATTCTTACCTGTAATGACTGCACATTTGTCATTTGTACACATAAGCTTTGCTGTTTATTTTTTTAAACAAGCCAGTAAAACCACCATATATATGCAAGGGATTGGACATATATAGGGATATATATTGGCTTTTAAGAAGAAACTTTTAGAAAAGTTACAAACAGACAAAACACAATATTTTGATACTTTGTTGAATACTAACAAAAACTTTTAGTTACTCTGATAAATATTCCTTGAACATTTATAGTTTTTATTCAAGTA